TCTGCCCAAGGCCTCCCTGTTCAGCCGGCCTGTCTGGTCTGCGAGGGACTGCACGGGTGTCGGGCAGCTGGAGAGGACGGCCTTCACAAATTGAGTTGTGTGGCCGCAGGACACCGACAGATACCTTTCTGCACCATGCACCGGTGCCAAGAGCCCGCAGGCTTGCTCCACCAACTTGCGGTTGAACTCCAACTGTTCAGCCAGTCGGCTGGGCTCATGGCTGATTTCGATGCCTCATGCAGCAAAAACGGGCAGATAGACAGCTTTGCATGGACTACTTGCAAACAACAAATTCAGAGCAGCCAAGCAACACACAGCTGAATGAAGGAATTTCATGTCGAAGCCGGATTTGGCCAGGGATTCACCTTTCAGGTGACAGCCATGTCCACTCACACCCAGGCCGCCCCGATTCAAGTTGTGGACGAGCATGCTGCTCGCCTGCAACTTCGCCCGCCATGCCAGTCCTCCCTCGACCAGCTTGTCAGCTACTCGCTGCCACCGGCTAAGTAGCGGGACGGATGTGTCATCGAGCAGAGCCTGCACGGCTTTTTGCAGCTCGGGAGTGACATCCATGATGCTGCCGCCGAAGTGAAACTTTGCACGGTTGCTAAAGGCAGGAGAGAGGTGCTGTCTGTCTGTTTGTCAATGCTTTTGTGCTTGCGAAAGGTTCTGCATGGTCCAGGAAATCTGGAGCAGTCCTGCTGGAAGTGTACTCTATAGAAGTATACATAGTGCATGGCGAATGTCCTTACCTGCTGTTTTTCTCTCTGGCCCCGAACTTAAGGGCCCTATACTGCCTTCCTGCAAGCCGTCGGCTCTGCAAAACTTCGAGAATGCCCAGAGACTCCAATACCCCTTAATTAAGGAATATACCTTAATTATAGTAGGATCCCTAATACGATTTAAGGTATATTCCTTAATTAAGGGGTATTGGAGTCTCTGGGTGCACACATGCTCAATCGCTTATACCAGCTGTGCCAGACTGTGCTGCTGCACTTGCGATCACAATTCTCCATGCAACAGCAGCAACAGATATGCAGGGTATACATCGACAGCCTTCAGGCTCGCACCTATACTGAACAGCCAGAAGGCTTGACTATAGATCATGTAACATGACAGCCAGATGGCTGCTCCTGAAATTGAGCCACCGGGATGTCGCAACTGGAAACAAGTCCGAATGCTTTGGCATGCCCTTGGATTTACAGCTCCATTTGTATCAACTTCCTGCATCCAACAACTCAATTCCTCGATCCGAAGCCTTGGAATTTCCTTGAGACATATTGCAAGCTGTGNNGCTTTCATAAAATCAGAAATCGCCACGTTCGACTACTGTAGAATCCACTGAGCATGACATGAAATCGTGTGTCCGAAACAATGCTCAGGTAGTTAGCTAACTACTTAAATCCGGGTATGCTAACTAGTTAGTCGCCCTTCTATGACTTAGCTAAACAGTTGTTAAATTTGCCTAAACCATTAGCTAATCATTTGGCTAAATGTAGGTATATACTTAGTTTACTGGCTAACCTTTAGTAACACTTCAATGGATTATTCAAACAAATACACAACTTTCTTAATCAACATAAGTCTTAAAGTTGTTTAGCAATAGTTAAAAC